TGCTGCTGCATCCAGTTAAGTGCTCCCCACACTCCCTCCCCTCCCCCCCAGAATCTGTCAGCACCCAAGGTTTTTAATTGTCTGAGTCACAGTGAGATTGCCTGCTTTTTAGGTGGGCAGAGGGGGAAAAATTCCAGAGCAGTTCGACTTGGTTTTTCCCCCCTATCAGAAGCAGGAGGGAGTGCTGGGCAGGCATGCACTGAAGTGCCATGCAATGCCCCACACTCTGGGCAATGGAAGTGTTACCATAGGGTTACCATACGTCCGGGTTTTCCCAGACATGTCCTCTTGTTGGGTCCTCCCACCTCCATCCAGGTGGGGGTTTTTTTAAATATCAACAAATTTCCAGGATTTGGGCTTTTGCTCTCTGCTCAGCAAAGTCTTCCCTGGCACTGGGCTGCAGCAGAGTGGGGGAGGCCCCTGCTCCTCCAGCACAAGAAGGGGCAGAGGAGGGGCAACAGGGAAGTATGTGGTGCTGGCTGCTGCCTGTGCTCACAGAAGCAAGGCAAGGGTTGGAAGTGAGGGGCACCAGCAGGGCTGGGGTAAGAGGCCCTCCTGATGCCCTTTACTCTGCAGCCACAGCAAGGGGCACCAGGAGGGCTGTGGATCAGCACAGGAACAAGCAATGCCAGGGTGCTGCAGGTCAGGAGTGAGGGGCACCAGCATGGTCTGGGGAACAGGGGACTAGTTTGGGAGTGAGGGGGAAGAGGCAAGGCATGAGCATAATCACTGACCCCCCTACTCATTACCCCCTACCTCAGGGGTCCTCTTTTTTGAAACTGGAAATATGGTAACCCTATGTATCATCAACTTGAAATCTAGTCAGTTAAAGGAAAACAAAGTTAGAAGAAGTTTCAGATATTCTGCCCACAAGCCACCTGCCTCTTCGTGTGCTTTCACAACCACATTTTCCTATTTAAAGCACGTGTTTCTTTTTGCAGAGAAAAAATCCACACAAACAAGAAAAAAACCCTAACTGCTGTACAGAAGAATGGAATGGACACTACAAAAAAAAGTGCTGTTCAGCACACAGGATGTGCCATTTTCTCTAGTGGGTTTCACAGTTACAATTTTAGGTTTTTGGTTTTATTGGCAGGAGATGCAACCATTTCAGACAGTGGCATTTGAACTGATAAAGTCCCTTTAAAGCAGCAGGGTAGCTGGGAGGCCTGCCCAACATCTCTATTGCTGGAAAGCTGGAGGGACTGGGGAAGGAAAAAGGTGGGAGACTGGCCTGAGTCCTAGGCAGAAGTTCTCTCTCTTCAGCAAGGTCATTGGTATATAGTGTTATCACCAAGTCATGACATGCACTCTTGGGGCAGCTGTGGTGCTCAAGCTCAGATGGTTGACCACATTATCTATGAATGCCCTTATGGTTCTCCTTCAGGTGCCCAAGTGCCTATTGACATTGACTATTCTACCTTGTTGCTAGCTTTCTGGTCCTCATGCTTCCCTACTATTGAGTGTGGCAACATTCACTTACCGCCACCAAACCATGGCAAAAAGCCCTAGTTCGATAATGCATTGTTCAAACACCAAGTCCTCATAAAGCCACCCAGAGGCACTTTTTGATATCTCAAAGCAAATCACTGGATGAAAAGCTTAACAAATCTGCTTGCCTACTCATCTAAAAGTGACCAGGCAGAGTTGGGTATTCCCTACCTGAAAGCATTATTGCCTCTCTGAGCACTGCTCTATTACAAATCTCAGTAACACAAAGTTAAAAAGTTGCATCTTAAAACTCAAGATTTAAAAAAATTACACACTTTATTTTCCTTCCAGCATTTGTGATGTGACTGCAATGCAAAGGCACATTTTCATTTTTTTTTTAAGTTAGGGAAGCTAGCAACTCACTTTTTTTTCCTCTTCCTTTTTTTTTTAAAGACACATATAAATCAATTTACCCTCAGTACTGAAGCTTTGCCCCCCTGAAAGCCAAAACGTTCCTTTCCTGAAGAGTTATTAGCACTTCAGGTAGACACAACCAAGTTTATTGCAGGACCCAAGATTACATTCGATTCAAGGACTCCCAGGGATGCAGAAAGGGAAGAAAGCACCAGATTGTCCTTAAGCACTCCTCATTCTTTCAGAAGAGGTTCAGACTAGCTGAGACATATATTTTCACAGGATGTGAAAAGGACAGACATCAAGTAGAGTAGTGGCCAAGTTACTGATCCTTTCTTATGACAGAAAGGGCACAGATCCCATGCAGAAAGAAACAGGGAAAACAAAGGCTTCCCCCCACTTCTGTCAAATGAGCTAGAAGGAGAGAGACTTAATTTTTATTTTTAAAATACTGGAAGACTGTGTACGGCACCAACAAAACAACTTTCCTCTGATCTGGGAGGACAGTTGACAATCATGAATTTAATCAGTGTTTGTTTGCGTTCATACTACCTGTATCTTATATGGAACCATGTTACTGTAAGTGACTTTTCATGCTTATTAAAGAAATTCTGTTTTCTTGATTACAGTAGTAATAATAATAAAGTATCATGCCCACTTAGCAACAGTCTTGTAAAAACAGCCATTACAAAAACAAAAAACGCCCCCACAGAAGATTGCCCAAAATGCCATAATTTAAAAATCCTGGGTTTTTTTGCTTTAGAAATGCACCATTGCATTTCAACTCTTACAAAGCTACACTTAAGACCCTACAGTGATCTCCAATTGTTGCCAATATCACCATCTTCAATTCACTATAGCACCCAATGGATATAGCCAAATTATTCCACTTATTCATGAATGGTATTGTCTATTCAGATCTACCAAATCAAATTTATCAAACTGTTCACAATTCAACAACTTAATGGTATTCTGATCATTCACTAGTTTTTTTGTTTTTTTGTTTTTTTTAAGTTTCATGTTCATTTTACTAATATTGCAATGCTTTCAAAGTAGAGACTAATTATTTTGTGTCTCGATAAATGTACCAAATATTTTGGCTCTACTAACAAGCAATCTTCTAAAATGTAGAATCTGTGCATCTATAACTAGATATATTCTTCTGAGTAGCAAGAAATTAAGTCAAAGGAGCAATCATCAGTTATTTCCCAGTTCAGTGTATTATTGGGTAAATTGCCTATATAAAGTTAATACAAGCAGTCCTATTTTGATTAAACAGGATTAAAGTTAAACAGAGACACTTCGTTCTTCAGAATCCCTGCTCCTCACCCCTGCCCCAAGACTCCTACAATTTTAAAAACAGATGCAATTATTCTAGTAAAATAAAATAAACTTTGGTAAGACAGGCTATTATGGTGAGAGAATTCCTCATCAGTACTTCGGGCCAACCCCCTGGAGGACTTTGAACTACCTACATATTGAATTATAAAGACAATAATAGAGCTGAGCAGAAAAGCAGAGTGTGTAGTCATCTGTGCTGCTAAGGCAATTGCATGTTGTCATAATGGTTGTCTGGGCAGTAATTAGCACCAAGAAGTCTAAAAGCCAGAAAACAGTCCCAAGCAAAGTGATGCAAAAGCTGATACAAGAATCCATCAACAAACAACTGAAAAACAAAAATAATTAACACCAGTCATTGCATTTTCTGGAAGATGGGTCTTTAAATAAAACCTGATTTAATCATTTAATTAAGTTAACAGCAATGACTTCCACAAGCCATTTGACTTAACACCATGTGGTATTGCGATTAAAAATAGTACTACAGAATATCAATAAAAACAAATGTTAAATGGATTAAAGAACTGACTGAAACCTCAAAAGGCAGTTGTCAATAGGGAAATACAAAATAGGTAAGGAGGGACTTTTTGTGCAGTTCTGCAAAGATTAGCACTAGACTCAGTGATATTCAATACTTCCATCAGTGATCTGAAAGTAAATACAAAGTCACTGCTGCTAACTAATAGAGACACTGTCCTAACTCATTAGGACAGTGCCATTAGACCACTGTATTTGTAGGCAGGTAATAATTTTCCCATGTTAGCCTTGGAGAGATCCTGCTGGATATGTAAGGATGCTTAAAAAAAATCCGTGTCAAAAAGCAAGAGCCATCAGATTAATTCTCAGTTAAGTCCCTAGGTACACTTTTGTAAGAGGTGTCATTCCATTTTAAAGTCCTTTAACAGAAACTAAAACAAAGCAAAAAACCCTCTTTGAAGCTTTTCATGAATGATGCTCCTCACTGTCTATTTAGATAAGCAAAGTATTTGCTTTCCAGTATGCAGGACCTTTGCACAGCTTCGCTCGCTGGATATAGCAATTTTACCCTGATGTTGACCTCTGGACTTTAAAGAGTAGAACTGTTTCTAGGATTTGGACATGTGAAAGGTTCTCTCTACAAACTGTATTAGCTTGTTATCTTGTAGAATTTAGGGTTTTTTTTTTCCAGTATTAGAGTTAAGATCTACTACTACTACAAGATTCACTACACACTTGTTAGAAGGAAACCTAAATGTACCAGCTAAAGACCAATCAAATCATAAAAGGAGGTATACTCCACCAGCAAATCACAGAGCAATTCTAAATTGGTAAGATCAGCCCCTCCTCCACTCGAACTGCTAAGAGGACAGAATGCTGTTACCAGCCCTTCCTTTCATGTCAATAAAGCAATTGACAAGTTTATTTGTTGTTAGTTTATTTTTGTTTCCGTGAGTGTCAACTTGCATGGCAATTTACAAAAAAGTCAGAGAGAAGGTAGATTTATTTCACATGAGTCAGAACATCAGATTTTAGTAGTAATTCTACAAGCAACTGATGTTGCTTATATAGTTACTAGATTTACATAATATTGAAGAAGGAAGAGGCCGCAGAGGGGTTTTTATTTTCATTATATTAAATGAAGAACTATATGGTTCTACTTTATTCAAGAAAACAAAATTGCATATTTTTTCCATTTCTAAAATGTTCGGCACAATGCTCGTTTTTCCTGCAGAAGCCATTCTGAACTATGCAAGCTGAACAAGTAAGCCGACTGTTAATATTAAACAAAATGTTGCTTAATGCCATGCCTACCATACCAAGAGGAAACTGAAGGCTACCTGATTGTTGCTTTTATCAGCGGAGTTGACTTGAACTGTGTTTGAGGAAAGGGAATCAAAAAAGGCTTGGTCAGCTGTTGAATTGCCACAAGTGAATCCATCTTTTGCACTTTCAGGAAGAATCTGAAAATAGAGAAACCTGTTTTAAGGTATTTATCCCTCTTACATGAATTAAATTACATGCTATCACCTTACTTGTTCTAATAGCATTTAAAAGCCTTCAAGTCACTGATACAATCTGATCTTTAAAAGAACACACTAAAAAAGTCAAGCCAACACATTCAGGGTATTGTATACACTTCCCAAATTCAATGATGCATCAAATTCAGATATTGATGAGAAGTATGGTCCATTGTTTTGAATAGCTTTGGAGAGGATCTCCATGGGACATGAAATGAATCTAGAGCACCTATCTGTATAACTTGCAAAATTTGGTTGATAGTATGAAAACTTATGCATCACCGAATACCGGTATATCAGGCAGTAACTGGTCATGGGCTGCCAGAGCTAGGTCATATTTCCTGCCTGATCAGGAACAAGTTAGAATTCAACCACCGTGTTTTCAGGATAAGCAGCTTGGGATAGTTTGCTAAACTGAGACCAGTGTCTAGAGATTAAAAAGTTCTTGAACCCAGGTGACAAAAGACGACAGAAAGATTCACAGAAGGCAAAACACCCACACAGTGGGAAGGGGTACTTGGGCAGAGAGGGAGAGACATGTACAGGCTTTTGCAGCAGGAAGAGCCCCTCTTAGTTACTAAACTGATCAAGGTCCGAGTATACAAGTCTTGAGTTTGCCTAAAGACCCAAAGGACAGAGCACAGCACCCCAAACTTTAGAGTTTACGAGGTGGTCTGTATTTTATATTTTCTTTTAAACAAGAGAATGAGGTGTTCAGACACTGTGCAAAAAAAAGTACATCTATATCTATATGCTTCTGGGCTTTGAGGCAACATGGGGTTCAAGAACTGTAAACACAAAGGCTCATATTTGGTGTGATTCTGGGATGCAGAATGTGTTTAAGCTATGGAAGGCAGTAGCACAAGGTCTGAGTAAGCAGCAGTTCTTTGGAACCCAGTTGGAATATGGGTTTCAGCTCCCAGTAGGGGATGCTAGACAGAGGATTTACAACAGGAAGAGAATACCTAAGGACCCCAAGATAGGGGCAGTGCCAGAATACTGCTCAGAAGGAAAAGCCTCTTTTTAAGGAACTATCAGCATTTATTTTAGTGGAATTGAAGTAGTGCCATGTTTAAATCAGGCCTCCAGTCTAGAAAGTTAGATTTTTTAAAAAATGTCCAATATTAATTAATCAAAACATGGAGAAAGAGTTCTGTTTTAATAGGGTTTATGTATTATTTAGTTTTAACTTACTTCAACATAATCTGTTGGTACAAGTCCTCTCTCTCCTTGGCTATTTTTTGCTTCCAGCCAGCCTCCACCTACATCCTGAAGGAAAAAAAGAATAATAAAAGCAACATAAGAAAGCTTTTGCTAAATGAATTTTATAGCATGGTTTAATACAAACTGAGACAGAAAGGTGTCACAGCCACTATTTGGTAATAGGATTCAAGATGCAACCATGCAACTTTGGACAAATGAGTATGGATTTTTTGAGCCTCAATTTCTTCATTAAAAATGGAGGATAGGAGAGTATTAACAATGCCCATCTCAGGGCTGTTGTGAGGTTTCACAGCCTTCAAAATTGTAAAGTTAGATATAAAAAAAAAACCCAGAGCAAAACAAAAAAATCCCTAAAACAATCAATTAAGTTTTTCAGCACCTGAAAATGTTTAAGTTGCTTCTTTAACTTTAATTCAACCCCCTTTCACACATACACCTTAACAGTAATTATAGGATCATATCGTGCTTCTACAGGAATCCCCCTTATTCAGTACACTGGATGGGCAACACTCAGAGAATAAATTAGGGATACAGGCAATGATATTATTTGCAGAATCTCTCCTTCTTGTGTCAGCAAATGGAGCTAGTTGCAGGAAGAGGACAACATTATGGCTAAAAAGAAAATGCTTCCTTTATTTCCTTGTCTATTTGTTTAGGACAGAGGCTGTTGGAGGTAGAAAGTACTCTCTGTTTGTACAGTGCCTAAACACAATGGGACATAAAACTCACTCAAACTAGAAGACACGCTAATACAATACACTAAATAATAGAACACCTAAAGGCTTTGCAGGCCTTTACCAAAGTTGGTTAAGACAAATACCACGATAAAATGACCTGGAATAAACTGATTTAATTTTAACAAAATGTCTCAAACAGCCAGATGTGTAATGAGATAATTAACATTGGGTAATTAGTCTGGTGTATGCAGACCACCGCCTGCTAAATTTTGAACTTCAAAACATACTTATTCATTTATTTATGAATAAACAGAGGTTTATTCATTTTCAGTAATGTCTCCCTACCCTTAAAACAAAATTCTCAGATAAACTGGAATGTGCATGTCAAAAGATAAATCAGCAAACACTTCTAGGATCTGATAAGCAAAAGTCTAATCAATAATCCTTTAAACAATTTTTGAAGGCAGTTTGATTTTAAATTGTGCTTACTAATACTTAAGCATAAATCACATATTCCAATAGTTTTCAACCTTTTTAGATCCGAGACCCCTAACTTGAAAATTTAACAGCATTCCATTCTAAAAATAAGGTTTGCTTCATTTTTTTTTTTTTACTTTTTTTAAAACAGAAAAACAGCATTTATTCTGATGCAAAAACAACCACAACAGATCAGAACGTTTTTGATACAACAAACTGTAATTCACAAGATTAACCCAGATTTCAAATAACTTCTAGATATTGACATACCTAACAGTGCTAACATTGCATGATACCCTTGTTAAGAAATTACTGATGATTCAATGTGAACTAATTAAACAGTTTTCAGAAAGTTCCCAGAATCTGCACATGCTACAGTTTGGACCATATTAATAAAACTAGTTAGCTTGGCAAAAAGTTAGAGTTGTTTGCCCACAGTTTCATGTAACAATTATATTTATCAAGCAAGCGGTCAATTGTCTGTAGTGTTACTGCTCCTCATGAACACCCTGTTCTTTACCAAGGAGCTGATTCCATTAAGTGCTTGAAGTAAAGTAGATACTTAAGTTCCATACTATTCTTAATTAGATACTTAAGGTCCAACAGGAATTACATATGCTTTAATGCTTTACTGAATCAAGGTACAAAACCATACAGTGACCTTTTGTCATAAAAGCAAGATAGGCACTTAGAGCACTTATGCAAGCTACATTTTTTGCATTATCAGGCCCCTGAAAATGCTCTACAGCTGTGACCATAACATGCGCACTGCTGCAGAGCGCTTTTAAAATAGCCAATCATACAAAAAGTTAAGACTCATCACATCAGGTATTAAATAAGGGCGCTCTAAAGCAGAGTGCCTTAGGGAACTTGGACTTAATTTTTTCCTGCAGGAACAGGGCTGGGCTGGTGCCGTAATAGAGCGACAACCCAGCCCTGCCCACCAGGCTCTCAGCAGAGGGGAGGGGGAGAAAAGCAGCAGCATGGAGCTGTTGACTGAGCTTTGCCTGGCTGGAGATCGGGAGGGTGGGTACAGGGGTAGAACAGAGCTCTTTCACCTCTTGCCCCCCCTCCCCTTCCCAATAACCCAGCTGGGGTACTGGGAGCTGGGGCAGGCCCACAAAAGCAAAGGGGCTGTTCCAACCCGCCCCCCTGCTCCACAGGCCTCCTGAGAATGGCAGCAGCAGCTACTGGTTGCTTTGCCCTGGCCTGAGCTGGAGTGAGGCTGGGAGGGGTGGAACACAGACTCCTTGCCTCAGGTGATCCAGCCGACTCCCTCAGTACCCCAGCAGGGTAGCTGGGGGGGGGGGCATGAGGTGAGGGGCTCTGTTTCACCCTGCTCCCCTCCATCTCTCACCAAGCAAAGCCCAGTCCACAGCAGATGTGCTGCACCCTTCTCTCCCTCCCCTACTAACAGCCCCAGAGCTGGGGGGTGGGGAAGGGGCAGTTGAGCAGTTTTCTTGGAGGCCCTTGGCATGCCGCAGCTGCTGGAAGCAGGGTCAATTCTCTGCCCCCCCCACAAACAGGCAAATGAGGTGGGAGGGGGAAGGGGAGAGGGCTCGAACTCACAGTGCTTTATATAAAGCGCCATGAGTTAGAGCACATCCCCTATATGTCTGTAGGCAGCCCTATACAAACGAAACTACATTCCCATATGAGAACCAGAAGTACCATATTAAGAGCAAAAGGAAGAGTCTTTTTGACCAAGATGAGTGAATACAATATTAAAATGCGAATTCACTCAGCTACTTGTTAGGTGTATTTTATTAATTTATTTTTGTATGTTTTTCTAGCTAGGAAGATGTTTAAAAAGTCTGACAAGTCACTGATTAGAATTAAAACCATTCAAATCTCTAATCATTCCAAAACAAAGCTGTAATTGCAACTAAGGACAAAAGTTATGAACATCTAAGGAAATATTCACAGGGTGAATGAGATTCTCTTTCCATCCTCTTCACCTTTATGTACACTGCCCTAACTAGCACAAGGTCAATTAAAAAGCAGAAGTTTAAAATTTTCTGCTTTAAATTTGCAGAATTGCAATTTTTTTGCATGTTTTTAACACAGTAAAATTTGAACATGAACATGCTGCATTTAGATCTAACACCATTACTCAATTGCAGAGCTGACATAAAAAAAAAAGAATATATTCAGATTAAAAAGGATGTCAATATCGTTAACATGTTTTTGAGACACCACCACAGAATGCTTAATAGCACAAAGCTAATCAGAGTCTGGTCACCATGTAGTAAGGTTGCAGCCTATTATCTTCTGATCTTGCTTTCGTTAATATGAATTATATCCATAACATCACTGAAAGTGTCTTTCTTATTTAATTAATTTGCCATTACCCTAGGGGAGAAAGGGAAAAAACACCAAACACATTCCTACTGGATGTCACATAGTCCCTCTTTAAATATCTGAAAGTAGGTCAGTGCATGGCAGCCTGGTTTCCATTTGCTCCATCTTACCGGGTTAGTAATAACAACAATCTCCCCTTCATTAACTGTCAGCTCGTTGTTTCCAGGTTCAGCAGCAAAGTCATACAGAACTCGAGCCTGTGAGTGGAAAAAAAAGGTATCAGTCTCATCATTTTACATTTACCACATGAATTCTGAATACTTATTTAAATAGCACCACAGGACTGATCCACAAGCGTTAACTGACACAGTTGGGTAGAAGGAAGAGTGGCGGGCAAAACAAAGTTTAACACTGCAATCTTGTGGTCCAAAAATGATGCTGTCATAATCCACTTCTAGCAAAAGGTTGAAAAGCATCAAAAAAACCCATACAAATAAGACTCCTATTTATGGCTGTCTGCATAAGACAGCAACTATTAATGGCTAAAGGATTATAGTTTAAGATTTGGGGGGG